TTTCTAGATTAAGCCAAATCATATAACTTTTACACGACAATGATGGCGCAGCTAATTCAAAACTTTCGGACGTAGCTTGTAGAGATATTAGACTATTTCGAAGCAAGAGATATGAAAAATGAGCAATGCCCTCGCCAGGACTAGAACCACGAACTTCTTGAATACGTGCCGAGTGTGCTGACCACTACACCACGAAGGCATGCTAAGAAGGTGGGAAAAATACCTTATAAGCTAATTTCGAGAACTGAAATCTTTCTCTGAATAAGCTGGCATATTGGATAACTACTTAGTTGCTTCTGTTTGTCAACAAAGGCAGACTGCTACTTGTTGCTTTTCTTCTTACTGTATAACTCTCAAAAACGTAAAAGTTTTGAAACAGGTAGGATTAGAGTGCCAAATGAATTGTGGCTGCAAATATCAACTGAAATAAAAATGAATATTTAATATGCCTCGGCTGCCAAGTTTCCTGTTTATTATGGATCAGCATCTAACTATCAACATTTCTACAACAGTACATCTAAGACAACATCATTACATCTAGTCAATGGGATCTCAAATGCGGGTTCACAAAAGAAAATTCATAAATGGAATTTTAAAGGGATTGAAGCTTTCTTATGACTACTAAATTTATGTTGTTCTACATTCATGTGAAACATAGCTCTTGATCTCATGCAATATCCAGAAGTGAAAAAGAAAAAAAAAAAAAAAAATAAAAAAAAAAAAATCCTATCATCGTTCTTCTGCAGAGCTTCGAAATTTAATACAACATAATGTTTATATTCAAAGTCATATAATGAGCGTTTTCGAGGACGAGAGTAGGAAAATTCCAGATCGTTTCAACTATGCATTCCCTGTACTTTTGAAGTTCGTTAATCTTTGTTTAAAGAATATGTTTTAAGTTGCGTTTGATTAATTTATTTTCGCTTCTTCTCTTAGTTCTTAATCGCACAGTTCATAATCATAAAATTATTATCTTCCATTATTATCTTATTAACAGGTTCATTTTTCAGTGGAACGAAACTCACTTAATGCTATGGATTTTTCAATTTCACATAAATGCTTTTATGAATAAAGTAAATTAGATATTAATGCGGCTAGAAATGCATTAGCATCATCGCAGAGAAAGTGTAACAATTAATCGTATTTGAAAATTTAAATATTTAATGGTGTTTTATTTTGCTGGCTTTAAAAAAAATTATCATTGATTTATGAAAATAATTAAAATCTTATGGTATCAAAGGTTTGAATTTTTCATAATCAAGTTTAATAAAATGAAGAAATGAATTTAAAGATTTTCTTTATTTAGGAAAGATTATCATGTTTTAGTACATGTAATTACATCTTTGAATTCATTACAAATTTTGATTTAATATTAAGAAGTTTGGAATTATTTTGTAAATGAGGTAAATATAAGAAATTTATAAAATAATGTTGAATATGTGTTTTGAAAATGATGTAAAATTATATTTTCTATATAATGTAGGAAATGTGAAATGTTTTGGTATTAAATATTATTATAATCATTATATTTTAGAACATTTAAGAACATTTAAGAAACATTTAAGAAACATTTTAGAAACATTTAAGAAACTGAATGACTGCGATAGTTCATATGACTAACGTAATTAAAAGCAAAATCAATTTGAAATTATGGTAAATGAATGTTGTAATTAATAATAATTGCATAACATATAATTGATAAATAATTGTATGTAAAGATAGAGTGTGTTGAAGGAGTACTGCTTAAAAAATAGAGATCTCTTTTTACATCTGTGTAACTGTTCTTTTACCTTCTTCATACAGTATGCACGTTGAAGACTCCCACCTTATGAAAAAATGCAATTTTTTAACATAACATTATTTTATTTTTTCATGTAATGGGATGCGGTTGTATTTTATTTTGATTTATATATAATGGAACGGTTCAACGCAATTTGCAAAGTTCAGTTAATTTATGTAAGAAATAAAGGCTCTTTTTTAATAAATTCCGAGCATTTCTTAACCACTGATGAAAATTAATACATCAGTTAGCTAAAGTTCATAAACCCAGATCGATGAATAATATCTGAGAAGCTTCTATTTTGTGATAAATAAGAAAATTAAAAATGTGTTAATAACATTAAAAACAATAAAATCAATAATACTATCACAAATGATTAAAAATGCAATTTATAATAATGAAAATTATTTAGGTAAATTTGAATTTTATTGTGTTTATTCAAAATAAGTATTGGATGTATTATAAAAGTTTTATGTGATAATGTGCGAAAGGTTTTAAAAAGTCTTCTCTGAACAAATATAAGTATGCGGAATATAAAGAATAAAGACTTTTGGCCTAAAAAGTTAAGTCAAACACTAAAATATTATCAAAGTTTATATTTTTCAATTATTGAAATTATTATTATTTTGCTCAGAGTTTTAGGCTTTGTATTTTTCAATTTGTGTTTCTTTTCATTTCCTAATGCTTTAACGCCTCAAAAATACTTTCCTTTCGTTATGCCTTTTCTCTTTGAAGGGAAGAACGTGTAAAAATATATGTAAATCGAAATTGCAACTTAAATTAGCAATAGTTCTTTAAATCCTCATTTCAATTTGGGTATTCCCCCCTCTCTATTTTAAAAATAGAAATAACTTTTCTAGGCTGCTTCATTTCTCGATTAATCTAAATCATATGACTTTTACGTAACGATGATGACGTAGCTGATGCAGAACTTAAAATTTCGAAAGCCGAAAGCTTTCTCTGAAATATACTGCCATATTAGATAACTACACACTTGCTTCTACTCCTCAGTGAAGGCAGCGTGCTCTTCTCTTTTTGCCGCAAAGCTATAAAAATTATGAATGTTTTGAAATTACGATTAAAGTGCCAACAAGCTGTGGTAGTCTCCCGCGCCTCTTTCCCTTCCATCAACTTCTCGTGAGGACTTTCGGATTGCCGCATATTTTGAGTGTCCCCATGCCACACAGACAGTATACATTTACAAACATCCATGCCCTCTATAGCCCTTCAATACGAAAATCAGGGTCACTAAACACTTTCTCGTTTCGGCGGCACATTGGCAGATTCAGAATTTGGTTTGACTATATAGTTATATCTTAAATGTTCGATAAATTAACTGAGTTATCTAGAAGGAGAAAATAGTATTTATATGAGCCATTTTCAGGGGTTCCGAGAACCTTAAACAAGGCGGAAAATTTCTTGACGCGAGGGAGGGGTAACCCGTTCAACCTTCCACTCGTAGCAAGAGCACAACCGACACTTAAAGAACACAAGGTGCTGTTTTCGTAGCAGTAGACCCTTCCCTATGAATCACTGTATGAAAGTCTCAAAATTTCTTTTCAGATAGGATATCTACGCAGAATAACAAAGGCATTCGATGAACTCTGTGCTTTTGTTGTTGCAGTAAATCAGACTTGTCAATCACACTAAATATAAGTTTGGAAAATTCTCTTTACAATCATCTTAGATACATCGTAGACAAGAACACATCGCACTCAATATCGCGCAATCAAAAATCGGGTCGAAAGAGTCAAAAATCGGGATCCTAAAATCTAATTTACATATTCACATCCATTTCTTCCATCACTTACTAACTTTCCCCGAAAAATGCCAGAAACACATAAATAATTACACCATCAAATTACAATCGGGAGCCGATACTCTAGATCTTCAAGTGCTGGAACTGACACTTTCATGCTTTGTTCTTCCATCGCGCACTCAACAATAGGTTCAACTCTCATTATGCAAGAATTCGTAATTGTTACAGTAGAGACTTATCCAATGTTTTTACGAGTAAGTTCTTGTTCTCGTTAATATACACGTCTGTCTTCTGCGCCTTCTAACTTTTGCTATTTAATTATTTAAAAAAATCTCGAACACAAACTAAATAACAGTTTAATTCTGTTTATCACTATACACAAAGTGGATACAACTTCAGTAAATTATACTTCAACTCCATACCAAATGCTAGACTGTTTTCAAGATTTTTTAATCTGTTCTTTTCAAGATTTTTCAATTCTTCTGTTACAAAAAAATTTAGTTAATGATAACCTGGATGATTTTTTTTGAGTGTATGAAAATAGTCTTTTTTTTTTTTTTTTTTTTTTTTTTTTTGCTTAGTAAACTTAACTCTTTCGTGGAATGCATTTTTCTCATTCACATTTTCGCTTATTGTTTGTTCCCTGTGAAAATTTAATTTTATAAAAGATAACCAAGTGACCATATTTACCTCGTTTTAAATGTTTTTTCATTTAGTTTACTTCTTTAGTTTATATATTATGTAAATCGATGTGTATATTTTACGACTTATTATATATTTAATACGTTAAATATAGATTTAACAATAAATTTTCTGTAAGAGAAATACGAGAGATTTAAACTTTAAAATGAACGAAAAGTTTAATTAAATCTTTGATATTCAATCTAAGTTTGAAATTTGCCTAATTAAAAATTTGTTTTGTTTATTTTAATGTATCCAGCGTACTTTATGTATATGGCGCTTTCACAAATTTTATGTTTACCTCAATTTAATAACTCTGACCTATGTATGTTTGTTTGAGTTTATGTTTTATATGAGGTTCGAAACATGACATACTTAGGTACGAAAAACAAAGCCTATAATTAAAATATATATCTTATGAATAAGTATTTTTTTTAAATGTCTCTATGATATTTTACGTTTACTGACACAAACTGTCATTTATACGATTTTTCTTTTATATTGCTAAGATTGAATATATGTAATGAAAAGTAATATACAGGTATTTTGCTCATTGTCTTATTAATAATTTGTTTTCCAGATTCGAAGAAAATGCCTTCTTATTATTTGCAGTTCCATTTATAGGCTTTATTATGCACTTATTACCAAGACCGAAAAAATTAATATGTATATTTTACTTCAAATGTATATAAAAAATTCACATGTTCTTTCCAATATACACTAAAACATATTATTGAAAATTCTATGAAATTCCATTTTCTTTTGTTTTTCGTTTTGCAGTTCCTCCAATGATATCGATTCCAAATCAGCTGATCGGTGCGTCAATAGGAGAAGATGCTACTCTGGATTGCAATACTGAAGCATACCCTATGTCCATAAACTATTGGACTAAAGAGAACAGTGTAATGATAGTTTCAAATAGTAAATACATTACCAGTATACAGGATAATACGTACAAAGTGCACATGAAACTGACTGTAGTGAGTGTGCGGCCCGAAGATTACGGCACCTACAAATGCTCAGCAAGGAATTCATTAGGTACTACAGATGGAGCTATCAGGCTATACCGTGAGTGCCACAATTTATTTTTATATTCCGTAGTGATTGATAGAATTTGCAGAGAAAACTTTTACATGTATAGTATATAAAATAAACTAGAATGTTATGATTGTAAAAATGTATTGTTCTGAAAACCTATAATCTACTGAAATGTTTCAAATGTTGGAATCGTAAGAGACATCCGTTAATGTTAATAGATTTTAATAGTCGCCCTTTTTATCTCGCAGAAGACAAATAAAAAGTAATTTTGATATCTGTTGAATCGTGGCATCCTAAAAGATGAATCGCAAAATTTCATTGAATTGCATTAAAATTAGCGTCATTAAACTGTCCCTCTCCCCGAATGGCGGGCGGAAGTCGTCACGGACGTTGGCCACTACCAAGGACGGAAACGCTGGTCACTTTATTGTGGAGGCACCTAATAGGTGGGCCACCGTGGCTTCCTATCAAGGAACAGAAAATTTTTACACATGCCATCTTCGGGACTCGAAGCAGCCAGAGTCACTAAAGACTTTACCGTCTGGGCGGCATGTCATTAACAGAAGCAGGTAATTTTTTTGTGAATAAGAGAGGAAGAAATCCATTTCAGAAAAATCCATTTCAGCAACAGAAGAAGAAATCAAAGAAAGAAATCAAAGAAATCAATTTCAGCAACAGAAGAAGCTTTGGGGATAATTAATGCAGAACCAAAATGTGGTTATTTGCTCATGAATATTTGTTAGTTTTCCTTTTTCTAACAAAGGTTTCGTCTGCTTTGATGCGGAATTTTAAAATTCTGTCAGATTGGCCGCTGTAGAACTTTGCTGATAGGATATGAAATGAATATCTCATGAATTAAAAATGCAATTTTTTTAGAATATCAGTTAGTTTTATTGGAAAGTGAGAAATAGACCAGAAATTTGCTTGCGCAGAATCCGAGCAACTGGGCTTACATTATTGTTTTCCTGAACAGCAAGCATCACATTGGTATTCCCCTTGTCCTATCTACTGATTTCTAAAAGTATAATTATAACACGTCACGCCCTTGTAAATGTTTTAAGCTTCAGAAGAAGAGAGATCCCTGTTGACCGCCCTCGAAATCGATAGAGTTTTAAATTTACGCAACTTAACATTTTTATTTCTTTATTTCTTTATGCATTATTATTGGCTGAAATTTGATTCCTCACTACATATTTCTCTAAAGTCTAGTAAATGTACTTTTTAAATTTTGGCATTTGTCATCTTTGAACAAGCGGACAGGCCTACATACTTTATTAGAGTCCCAGAAAATTTAGTGCTATTCCTAGTATGACTGTATTTAACCCTTTAAAATATTACAAAATTAAAGTTACATTATATTTTGCTTCGTAAGCATGAATTATGAATATTATTTTTTAAAATTTTCTGCATGTAGCTTAACATAACTAAATTATTATTAAACTACTAATTACTAATTTATACATTAAATTAGTTATGTTATTATTAAATTAGCTGAAAGACTAAAACACTTGGGATCAAATTAAATGACGTCTTATGAAACAATTTAAGTTAACATCTTACATTTTAATCACTCGGCAGTGAAGGACTAAAAAGAGCTTAGATATGAATTCCTTATTCGTCTGAAATATGTGTGAGTATCCTCTATATTAACTGTTTCGCCGTAAAGTTAAATTTATCATCGATTTTTAATAATCATGGATTGAAGACAAACGAATACGATATGCTGTTTTAGAAACTATGGTCATCATTTTACATTATTTTAAATTCGAGAAATTTACATTTTTTATTTAATAGGAAGTTTTGAGGCCTTGCCATATCGCAAAAGGCTGATTTTCATAAAATATAAGTAAAATTGTTTCCCATTTGGTTAATATGTGTATGATATTACAAAGACGCTTTCACGTAATGTTCTGGTATATTATTTTCTAAAATTTGAATTTTTATTTTCTAAAATATAAGTAAAACAGTTTTCCATTTCTCTAATTTAAGTATAAAATTGCTAAGACAAAGAAAGATGTTCTCTTATTTTATTTTCTAAAATTTACTCTGTGAACGGATGAAAACTGAAAATATGTAAAAGTTTTAAAATTTCCCGTCACTTAAGAAGGCAAATTATATGAAGATATTTTAGTTTTTGTAGTGTATCAGTTATTCATAAAAAATTTCAAAAAGGGAATTCAGCGTCATTATTACACAATTAATATTCTCGTCAGTTTTTATACACATCAGTTGTAATACAGATCAATTATATTCACGTTGTCGTAGCTTAGATCACGTCCGATATCATACTCGTAATATAGATTACTTCTAATAGTGTATCAAAACAAAGGAAAAAAAACAATGTAAAAGTTGTTATTGAGGAGAGGAAAGTTTGTTTACAAATTAACCATTCTTTCGACGCACGTGTTGTAATAAATATTTATCCTATCAAGTGTCGTATATACAACAGTATGTTTCAAATCTTTAAAATTATTCATGGATTTTGTTACATTTTCTCCCAATATAACTTGATAAAATAGTGAAATTTCATAGGTCTTTCCTTTAGTTGAATTCAAAAATTTATTCGTTCAGAAAAAAAGTAAAATATGAATTTATATTTCCTTGTGTAATATTTAAAGTGGATCTGCACGTCTAAGTTTTATGAATATGTAATATATTTTCTTCTTCAAATATTTTTCTAGCAAAATATTCTGAATAAAAGGTATGCATTTTAGAAATCAGTGTTGCGTAAAGAAAGAAAAACGTTTTTAGGATTTTGTAAGCAGGTTTTTTTAGGGGGGGGGAAGTTTAGGAATAACTTAATGGGCATAACAGTTTTATACATGTGATACTCAGGTGTAAAAATTAAATAAGAATCTATTAAATGTACACATTTAATATTTTTTCCCTTTATAAAGTTTCTTAACAGAAAATTGCTTTAGATGCAGCTCATCGGCAAATGGGTGGACAAAACTGCCGAAAACTGTTCTTTGTCCCAAGTTCAATATCAAATGAATTATGTGGTTGCATGGTGCTATAATTTATTACTTTAAAAATAGAAACTTTAAAGCCATTTTTACCGTTCGATTTGCCTCGTAGCCATGTGAAGGACACCTGCGGCATATGATTCGAGTCTCTGAATTTTCCCCCTTAATTTATTTAGCGTGTTTCACTTCATGAAAAGAGCATAAAATTAGGATGACTTGAACTACATTCTCAGGTGAGACATAGATAATAAGGGCAGTTCAGGGAGAATGCACGCTTTACGATCGCAAATGAAGGACGACGCAATAGATTTAAAGTGCCGAATTGTAAAACAAAAAACAGACTATAGCCAATTTTTCTGGGTTTTCTTTCAGAGTTAGTTGCTTCTCCTAACCAGTCTTCCTATGTATAATTAAAAACCCAACCTGTCGTAGATTCAAGTAATCGCCTCTACCTTCATTAAAAATTGTTTGCATCATCCGTGATTTCATCATCATGTAACCACATCGAGGTGAATATGGAAGCAGAACAGCGCAAGATCCTTAGCAGAATTTCACTGTCCAGCTGTGTCCCAGAAGATTTTCTTCACCTGTTAACTATAACAGTGTGCTTATAGTCGTCGTTTTCAGAACTCCTGTTTATCCCTAATACCTATAGAATATGTATCCACATTTTGATGAAGTTCTTCGTTTCTGTGAGTTCTTTTTGATGGTATAGCTTGGCAACGTCACTACCAACACTAACTTATCGAACTTGGTGTAGCATTTTTTCATTTATTTCAATACTGGAAAACCCAAAATTTAAATATGCTTGACAACAGTTTCTTGACTTTATTTCCTGAACTACGCTGGTCTGTGCTCTTGTTGATGCTTCGCTATCATTTAGTGCTCTCTTACGGCCACTTAAAAATTTATCCATGATTCCGTATAAACCTACTGCCGTGAATATTTAATACCGTGATTTACATTTAACACACATATTGTAACGTACATATTCACGACAGAGACAGAAGGATTGACACGGCTGATAATGGCTGAAATTAATCGAGATGCAGTCTTTATACACGTGTCGTACAGGCGTTCTAGAACGATATTTTAGGATGTTCGAGACAAATAAGAACTTCTCATGAAGTAGCGAGAATTTCAATTCGCCAATTTTTCATGATTTATTTTAAAAATTTTTATTTCTAAATAATTTTTATAAATTTTTCGAAAAGAAATTTGAATTATCATCGTTTTAAAGTAGATGTATTTTTAAGCATAACTGCAAAAAATTAGTGTTTTTTATTAAAATTTCCTAAGATATTCGTAAACTTACATACTTGCGCTTTTTGAAATTTGGTATATTTGTTATAAGCAGTAATAACACCAAATGTTGTTTACGTACTTTGTTAAAATTAGAACGATGACTTTTTCTGCTCTTGTACAATAATGAAAAAAATCTGATGTGTACACCACATGACTTCCTTTTACGGAACATTAAATTATACGCTTTTTTTTTCTTCATTTCATTTAAACTAACTGGATTCAATTAAATCTACTTCGCCGACAGCGCATAAACCACAATAGAATAAATGCATCTTTAAAGCACTTAGTATTTGTTGCCCTATCGACACTCTGTGGCTAGATTCACTTAACAGTATAATAATTATAACAGTTAACTTATAATTTCGTTCAATTATCTCATAATTCACACAAATTGTATTTAAAAAAATAGAAGAAACACAGTTCTTTCAAATACATAATATAGTCGAATTATGTATAAAAGAATTAAGCAACAAAACAAAAAAGGAAAAACCGTTTTTCACAGGACGATGAGTATTCTCAGTTAATTATTCGGTTCTACTTCTCTAGAAGGCAAAATACCATTTAAAAAAAAATTCTGTTACCGCGGTAACTTAAACGCTTATTTCCCTCCAAAAAATTCCAGAAGATTAGCATATTTCAATTCGCAAATTAATTGAAGCTTATCTTTGTGTGCCAAATTAGATAAGTTTCTCTCGATTGGAACAAATACACTAGTCTACTGTTTCAAATGTACAATCAATCGCCGCCACAAAAAAACAG